TTATAAAAGATAGTTTATTTTCTGTTTTGTGGCATCTGTAGCTAGACCATTCACAGATACAGGCTAGGTCTTGCTGTAAAATGCAAATCAGCCGTGTCACTTAAGCATGTCCCCCCATATTTTCCCAAAGACACTAGCAACACTATAACTTGGTGAGCAAACCTCAAGCCCAGGGTCCAAGGCTTAGGTGTTAAACTTGATTCTGTGGTCCACCATCTGAACATCCTTGGAAAGAACCAGTTCTTGTACCTGAGCCTTGAGGTTCACCATCTCTAAGATCCATGCAAGTCCTAATATCCTGTAGCTTTATACAAACGCATTTCGGTTTTAACAGATAGCTATAAACAACAGGAAAACAATCAATTTGAAAGTCATCTTATTTATGGTTTGTTGAATATGAGGAAAATCTTATAAAATGATCTCATCCAGTTGTGAACATTAAAACGCATGTTGATATTGAAAGTTTCTTAGGATTTGAGTCGGACTTACAGGGGAAAAAAAAGTGACTTTTTGTCTGTCTGTCCCAAGGCTTTGCCCAGAGCTGGCAGACAGGCTTTGTTTAGCTGATGTCTGAACATTAATTCTGCATCTCAGCAGCTTTTTGATCAACAGACTGAAAACGCTCAGTGGGCAGGGACTTCTGTCTTGATTGTATAAATAAACTATGGTCTCCACAGGATAAGGTGTGCTTGTTGTGTACGGGGTTTCCCCGGTGTCTGGAACAATCCCTGGCACATAGTAGCTGCTCAATACTACACAAACACATAAGTAAATAGCAGAGCCTTTTCTCCTCCATGATCTTGGCAGTAAAAGTCAGAGAGAGGGGGAAGAAAAGCGGTACAGGAAAAAATAGGATTTTTTTTTCTATTAGCCTTGCTGCCCAGTGGCCAAGCAGCTTAGAGAGGCAGAGGCTGAAGCTAACCCTCCCCGTGGACAGTGACCACAGTCACACTCGTCACAGGGAAGTGAGTTGTCCAAGGGCCTGCCCCATTCACTGGACTCTTCCTCTTCTTTTTTAAAAAAATCAGTCTTCCGAGTAGGATTTATAAGACTAAATACAGATATTTATAGACACACACACACACACACACACACACACACACACACACACACTATTATAGGCCTCCTTGCCCCTGTCCATCTACACAGGGTGGTTCTGGAATCCCCATGCCCCATCATTTTCTCACCACCACAGCTGGATCTGTAAGCTTCTCTCCTGTCTCTTTACTCGACTCCATGAGGACCCGTTCCCCCCTTCCACAACATCTTGGTGTCTGCGCCTCATGAAATACGGTTGTTTTCTTTCTCCTCAAGCTCTCAGAGCTGACAGAGAAGATACTGAACCTTCTGTTTGGTTTGTGATCTCCCAAGGTGAAGCAGCTCTTTGGGTGGCCAGGAAAATGTATCGTTATCTCAGACAGCAAAAAATAAAATTGATTAGAAACTTAGAAACACCAAGGCACCAATAGCAGCACTTAAACGGCGTCTAAAAATGCAGAGATACCCAGACATATTGGCTCTTCGCAATTCATCTTGCTTCAGCACATCTTTAATGATATTACTGAAGCTGTTCAGCCCGCCCCTTTTCCAGAAAGTCTACAGATCTTGATAAACTGTGGGGAGGGCCATTTTTTTCTTTTCTTTTTTTTTTTTTTAAAGATTTTTAAAATTTATTTCAGAGAGTGAGAGAGAGAGAGAGAGAGCACAGAGGAAGAGGGAGAGGGAGAAGCAGGCTCCCCACTGAGCAGGGGCTCGATCCCAGGACCCTGGGACCATGACCTGAGGGGAAGGCAGACACTTAACCGACTGAGCCACCCAGGCGCCCCAGGCCCTTTTTTTCTTCAGGAGATACCCCTGCGGATATTTTCCTGTAGTGTGTGTGTGTGTGTGTGTGTGTGTGTAATTTTACTAGTTAAAAACAATAGTCTGTGAATCATTTCATTGTATATTTTTAACAGTTCTTTCTACAAAGTCACACCTTTTCTATAACTGCAGAGTAGGTGGGCCTCCAAGTGTGACTTTCATGTCAATAAACCTGTGTTTGGAGGCACAAACTCAGTCTTAGCTCTACTGTGTCTGCTCTGGGAGATTAATGTGACTTAGGAACTGATACTCTGCAAGAGGTTAGGGAACTCGTCTTCCACTTTTAGTTCTGCTACTAACAGCCTTGTGTTTGTCTCTGTTCAGGTTTACACAATTGCCAGGCTAAAGAAAGGGTATTTGTCGTAAGTAATCCTCAAAAGGCTAAGGAGGAATTTTCTTAGGTAATCCTCAAAAGATTAAAATGGAACGAACTGCATATTTACTCAAGGTGGCTAGGAAGGTTCGAGTCTGGTTAATAACAGTAAAAATATATGCACTAGGGGCGCCTGGGTGGCTCAGTCGGTTAAGTGGCTGCCTTCGGCTCAGGTCACGATCCTGGGGTCTTGGGATCGAGCCCCGTGTCTGGCTCCCTGTTCAGCAGGGAGTCTGCTTCTCCCCCTTCCTCTGCTGCTCTCCATGCTTATGTTCTCTCACTCTCTGTCAAATAAGGAAATAAAATCTTGAAAAAGGTATATGCACGATTTCCTATTGCTTGCATACTGTGCATTGACTGGTTAATCTTCAAATTAATTTTCTCTTCCTCCTCACATACAGCTCTATGACATTCTCTAGCCTCCTTTGTAATGAGGTAGGGTCTGGGTGCTACCAGCGGGCCTCGGGCAGAAGTAATGTGCACCACCTCAAGCCTGGTGCACAGCATGCTCCCATGACCAGTTGCATATGCTCCCTTTCTCTTCCAAATGGCTGCAAAGGAGACACCCTATCTGAACATGGTGGAGCCAGAGGATGGAATGATCATCAAACTGCTGCTCAGAGAAGAGATGCTTGACCAAGAAAACTCAAAGTGGACTCTGGCGTAGACGAAATATAAGCTAATACTGGTTCTTTTTCTTTTTTTTTTTAGTTTGCTAAAAGGTAATTTTCATTTACTCGATGGACATGAATTGCATCTTAATTTTCAGGACTTTAAAATTTTGTTTTTTAATATTTTAATTCCAGTGTAGTTAACATGTAGTGTTATACTAGTTTCAGGTGTACCTATAGTGATTCAACAATCCCATATATTACTCAGTGCTCACCACGACAAGTGAATTCCTTCATCGCCATCACCTATTTCCCCCATCCCCCCCTTCCCACACCATCAGTGTGTTCTCTATGGCTAAGAATCTGATTGGGATTTGTCTCTCTCTCTCTTTTTTCCCCTTTGTTCATTTGCTTTTTTTCTTAAATTCCACTTATGAGTGAAATCATATGGCATTTGTCTTTCTCTGGCTTATTTCGCTTAGCATTATACTCTCTATGGCAAGATTTCATTCTTTTTATGGCTGAATAATATTCCATTCATCCCACATCTTCTTTATCCATTCATCTATCAATGGACACTTGGGCTGTTTCCATAGTTTGGCTCTTGTAAATAATGCTGTGATAAACATGGGGTGAATGTCCCTTCAAACTAGTGTTTTTGTATTCTTTGGGTAAATACCCAGGTGTGTGATTCCTGGAGTGTAGGGTAGTTCTATTTTTAATGTTTTGAGGAACCTCCATACTGTTTTCCATAGTGGTTGCACCAGTTGGCATTCCCACCAACAGTGCAGGAGAGTTCCTTTTTCTCCACGTTCTTGCCAACACCTGCTGTTTCTTGAGTTTTTGATTCTAACCTTTCTAACAAGTGTGACACGATATCTCACTGTAGCCTTGATTTGCATTTCCCTGATGATGAGTAATACTGAGCATCTTTTCATGACTTCAATTTATGTTACCAAGTTGTAGTAATCAAAACAGTATGGTACTGGCACAAAAATAAACACAAAGATAAAAGAAACGGAATAGAAAGGCTAGAAAGAAACCCACAGTTATATGATCAATTAATCTTTGACAAAGGAAGAAAGTATATGCAGTGGGGACAAAACAGTCCCTTTAACAAATAGTTTTGGGAAAACTGGACAGCTACATAGAAAAGAATGAAACTGAACCACTTTCTTACACCATAAATTTACACCATACATTTTTTCTTACAAAAATAAATTCAAAATGTATTAGTTCCTAAATGTGGGACCAGAAACCATAAAAATCGTAGAAAAGAGCACAGGCAATAATTTCTCTGACAACGGCCATAACAACATCTTTCTAGATATGTATCCTGAGGCTAAGGAAAAAAAAGCAAAAATAAACTATTGGGACTACATCAAAATAAAAAGCTTCTGCATAGTGTAGGGAACAAACAACAAAACTAAAAGGCAACCTACGGAATAAGAGAAGATATTTGCAAGTTCTTTATATATATATATATCCAAAATATATAAAGAACATAGATAACTCAATGCCAAAAAACCAGATCATGCAATTAAAAAAATGGGCAGGACACACGAACAGACATTTCTCCAAAGAAGACATAGAGATGGTCAACAAGCTAATATTGTTTTATTCCACTGAGGTTTTAGAGTTTATCAATTATATTAGCTAGAACTGCCATATTTAATACATATTCAACATCCTTTCAAAGAATTAAAATAGCATAGAATATACTCTAAAATTAAATGAAATTTCACCCTTCTTTGGTGTTTTAACATATTCTGCAGAGTCTTTCATTCAGGGTCATCCAAATAAAAAACATAAAAAAAGTCTAGTTGCTACAGCTCAGTGGTTGTCTGATTTCCTAATATTAAAATATTGGCCCTACTTGGGATTCAGAGAAAGAAAAAAATACTTAATTATTCAATCTAAGAATTACAGTAAAAATGGCAACTATTCTCATTAACAATGCACTTTATATATAAATACACACATATAAATATGTTTATATATGTTCTATATTTATATGCTACAAATAGAGAACATCTTTTATATATACAATATTTTTACACATATTGGCACATTTAATCCCCCAAATATTCTTTGAGATACTCAGTATTAACTTTACACATTGGAAGCTGCGGGGAAGGCGTGTTTTCACTTACCTAAGGTCGGGCAGGCTTGTCAATAACAGAGCTGTAATTTGAACTCAGTTGTGCTGATGCTTGTGTTCACTCTTATTAAAAGATGAGTCAGAGAGAGTTGTTCCCACATCCTCTTGCCTGGGCCAGCATGATCACAGAGTCTGGGCTGTGTTTCACTCCACTGATCTATCTCGAGATCACAAAGACCTCTGAGTTGCCAAATCTGATGACCCTCTATGGGTCACTTCTGCCCCTGTAAACTCTGGTTTTGGTTTCTAAGACTTGATTCTCTCCTGGTGTGCTCCCCTCCTCACAAGCTTGTCTCAAGCTTCTACACAGCATCTGCTATATCTGCCCCATGGAGTTCTCACTCCACATCTGGGTGGCTTTACTCAATTGCCCGAATCCCCCCTAGCTTGTACCAGCCACCTTGAGGCAGAACCTCTTGTCTCTTCATGTTCCAGACATGGCTCTTTAGTTGCCTGGTAACTACACCATGATGTGATGACTTGGGCACTTCCAACATCTAAACTCATGGTCTTTCCTTTTCTGCTGGTCTCAGTGCCTTCTCTGTCTGATTGGTATCATTGACCTATTTACAAAAGCCAATACCCTAGATATGAATCTTCTCCTGACATTCTCCCCAGGTTATTGCAATTGCCCACTAATGAGTTTTCTTGCCTTCGGTCTGGCCCCTCTGCTCACCATCTCCACATTCAAACCAGAGTGCTTTTTCTGAAAAACACATCTTGTCATTGAATTTGCTTGCATACTGTCCTTTAATGGCTCTCTATGACTTCAGACTCCCTGGTTTAGCTACAAGATTTTCCACAGCCTGGCGTCCTGCTCACCAAATTCCGCTCCGGCACTCTGCTCACCTGGTTCTTGCCCTGCCTTCCACGGAAGTACAGTGTGGACACCTCAAGCTGGTGGACACCACAGCTCTGTGTCTTCTGCCGAATCACAGTGTCTACCCACAGGAATGCTGTGGGCGTTAAATGAGGTAATGCATGTAAAGTGTTTAGAGTGGTACTTGGCGCAAAGTACTCATAAGGGTTGGTGATAGTTATGATTTGCTTTTGCCTCACTAGCCTTGCTCAGTGAACAGAAAATTGTTAATATACTGAACTACATACAACTGGGGGAGGGAGTGTTCTTGCAGTACGTTTAAAAAATAAAACTAAATCAGACTGCATCTTGATTAAAGCAACACCCATTCTTCCGGAAATTAAATTGACATCAGCAGAATGATAGGCTGATGTGATTGTAGGGGAAACAGAATATGGGTTCGAAGTGCAGCTGGTGAATCCCTTCATGATTACTACGGTAGACCCTTGAACAACACGGGTTTGAACTACAAGGGCCCACTTACATAATGGATTTTTTTTCAATAAATACAGGACAGTATTGTGAATGTATTTTCTCTTCCTTATAATTATAAGGATTTATTAACTAATACTAATATTAATTCATAACACTTTCTTTTTCTCTAGCTTACTTTATTGGAAGAACACAGTATAAAATACATATAACATACGGGCGCCTGGGTAGCCCAGTCGGTTAAGCGTCTGCCTTCCGCTCAGGTCATGATCTCAGGGTCCTGGGATCGAGCTCTGTGTCAGGCTCCCCACTCATCAGGCAGTCTGCTTCTCCCTCTCCCTCTGCCCCTCCCTCCTGCTCGTGCTCTCTCTCTCTCTCTCTCAAATAAACAAAAAAAATCTTAAAAAATACATATAACGTACAAAATACATATTAATCGACTGCTTTTGTTATTGGCAAGGGTTCCAGCCAATAGTAGGCCATCAGTAGTTAAGTTTTGGGAGAGTCAAAAGTTGTGTGTGCAGACTTTTGACTGTGCTGGGGTTGGTGCCCTAACCCCTGTGTTGTTCAAGGGTCGCCTGTGTACTCAAACCAGTCACCTGAGATAATGTGTTTAAAATATCAGATTTATTGTCAGGAAATGACAGATGTTGGCGGGGATGTGGAGAAAGGGGAACCCTCCTACATGTTGGTGGGAATGCAAGCTGGTGCAGCCACTCTGGAAAACAGTATGGAGGTTCCTCAAACAGTTGAAATTAGAGCTACCTTACGACACAGTAATTGCACTACTGGGTATTTGCCCCAAAGATACAAATGTAGTGATCCGAAGGGGTACGTGCAGCCCAATGTTTATAGCAGCAATGTCCACAATAGCCAAACTATGGAAAGAGCCTAGATGTCCATCAACAGATGAATGGATAAAGAAGATGCGGTGTGTGTGTACACACACACACACACACACACACACACACACACTCACACAATGGAATATTATGCAGCCATCAAAAAATGAAATCTTGTCATTTGCAACAACATGACTGGAACTAGAGGGAATTATGCTAAGCGAAATAAGTCAATCAGAGAAAGACAAGCATCATATGATCTCACTGATATGAGGAGTTTGAGAAACAGGACAAAGGATCATAAGGGACGGGAGGGAAAAATGAAACAAGATGAAACCAGAGAGGGAGACAAACCATAAGAGACTCTTAATCTCAGGAAACAAACTGAGGGTTGCTGGAGGGTGGGGGGTGGGAGGGATGGGGGGGCTG